TTGAGTGGACGTTAAACCCCACTTCTTTCTCTATGATTGTCGCTTAAAATGTGTACATAACGCCGTAGAGTTGTTGAAATGAGTCAGAGCCTCGTTCATCGCCTGATATAGAAACTTACGTTGAACAGCTATATAATGTCTAATCGCTATATTAGCAACGACTATGGTGAAGTTATTCTATAGAAAGTTTCGCCTAATCGCTATAATGATGTTTGTTTCAGCTATACAGAAAGTTTCGTCTGATCGCTATATTAGCTACGACTATGATGAAGTTATTCTATATATAGAAAGTTTCGCCTAATCGCTATAATGATGTTTGTTTCAGCTATACAGAAAGTTTCGTCTAATCGCTATATTAGCTGCGACTATGATGAAGTTATTCTATAGAAAGTTTCGCCTAATCGCTATAAATGATGTTTGTTTCAGCTATACAGAAAGTTTCGTCTTATCGCTATATTAGCTACAACTATGGTGAAATTATTGTGGGTTATTATTGGTATCAGTGAGACCAAGTCAGTGAAAACAGCCGCCGAATTACAATGGCAGACCTTATATTCAACAAGACGATCAAATCGTAAATTATCGTTTGATAAATCACTGTACACCAGAGAACGGGTGAGATTCTATTGTAATATATAAATTGTCAACGATGCAGTCTCATATTTTACGGAGTCGGTTTAAGTATATAGATAAGTGGTTCTCAACCTGTTTTACCAACGGCACACCTTGGAACACATGAAAAAATAACGGCACACCTGTCTAAATATATATGAATTATTTTTGAATTTTGCAAAATAAAAACATGGCAAGTTATAGACGGCATAAAACCGTAGACACAGACTAGTCAGAGACACAAAATAAATAAAGAAAAACACAGTAATGCTCAATTAGGATCACGTGGTTTTGCACATTTTCTAAGTGTGCCGTTCAAAATTTCGCGGCACACCTAGGAAGATCTTGTGGCAAACTTGTTGAGAATCACTGATGTAGATTAACCCCCAGAATATAAAAAAACCTAGCTGGTTTACCCTTTTCAGATTAAAATATTGATCCTTCATAAGGATTATGTAATTCAGAAGAATTGAAGCCATTTTTTTACGTATAATGGGAAGGTGTTGTAGCTCAATGGGTAAGGTGCTGGCTCACTAACCAAGGGGTCCGGGGTTCGATCCCTGTGTTGGTCGAGAACAGTGTCTAGTCGTTCAGATGATACGAAAAACCTATGTCTCATGTACACGTTGGCGTGCACGTAAAATAACTCTGGGAATTCGATATAAGAGTAGGTCGTAGCGCCGTTGTCCGGGCAAACTTTTCCACATAGCACACTGTATATCATACGCCCATTTTCATTACCCAAAGCGAGAGCCTAAACCAGAATGTTAAGTACATTTTGATTGAATGCCAGCATCTCAAGAATGTAAGATGAAAGCATTACCGTTGTTGGTCATTACATCAATTATTTGCCCAACCGGGTCTATATTGTAAGACACTAAACGTTTTAAAAGAGACGGGATTCTATTATAAATTTTAATTGTATATATATATCATTTCATTTTCTATTTTATATGAGTAGTTCTATTTTTTTACGTATAATGGGAAGGTGTGGTAGCTTAATGGGTAAGGTGCTGGCTCACTAACCAAGGGGTCCGGGGTTCGATCCCTGTGTTGGTCGAGAACAGTGTCTAGTCGTTCAGATGATACGAAAAACCTATGTCTCATGTACACGTTGGCGTGCACGTAAAATAACTCTGGGAATTCGATATAAGAGTAGGTCGTAGCGCCGTTGTCCGGGCAAACTTTTCCACATAGCACACTGTATATCATACGCCCATTTCCATTACCCAAAGCGAGAGCCTAAACCAGAATGTTAAGTACATTTTGATTGAATGCCAGCATCTCAAGAATGTAAGATGAAAGCATTACCGTTGTTGGTCATTACATCAATTATTTGCCCAACCGGGTCTATATTGTAAGACACTAAACGTTTTAAAAGAGACGGGATTCTATTATAAATTTTAATTGTATATATATATATCATTTCATTTTCTATTTTATATGAGTAGTTCTATTTTTTTTTTATTTTCAAAACCCCTGTGATATTTGTTTTGTTATGCGTATAAATCTTTTGTTATGTGATATAATTTAACCTGTCTCATAATTTACCATATGTATGGTTCAATATAGCCCGGTTGGGATAAGCCCCGTCGGTCAGAAAACCCATTTCATTACGTGTAATGAGGGTCTTGACACACGCCACACAAGCCATTACCACAGGCGCCTGTAACGTGGAAAATATTTCAAAAATAACATTAGGCTATGACTAAGTATGTGTGTAAAGTCCGTTACGTCCATGTTCGTAAGCGAGATTATCAAATAACTGGTCTGATTCCAATCTCTAACTCAGGGGCAAATAACTCGTCTGCAACCGATTCTCTTTCAGTTGATATAATAATACCGTACAGACATATGGGTATCCAGCTGCTAATCATGTAATAATAACAATTCATTTATACAGGTCACAATTCTATGCTTGATAATGACTAGAGAAGCCTAGTCGAAACGTCGCTCAGTAATAAGCAGTAATTGTATTCCATAGAATTGTGACCTGTATACTCTAGTTCAATTACTAAATGCCATTGAAACAGTTTAACAATTCATTTCTTCGTTAGTGCTGACTGGCCTGCAGCCAAGGACCCCAATATCAGAGGGGACTTCAAATTAGTTCTATTTTTTTCTTTTGATGTTAATTTACAAGTTTATAATTTTATGATTTTATTTATTGTATAGTATTATGTTTGTGCCAAATAAATCAATCTATTTACCATACTGAAATACAAACAGCATTTGTGTGAGTTTGACGGACGATGACTAGGATGTGCCCCCTTTTTATACACCAACATTTTCTTGTGGACGTATATTGTCGTCGCCTATGTCCGTCCGTCCGTCCACAATTGTTTGTTAACACTCTACAGGTCACAATTTTTATCCGATTTCAATGAAACTTGAAATATAGGTTTATCACCCTAAGATCCCGGTTCCTTTCAATATTGGCATGTATCGGACTGTAACTTCATGGATTATGGCCCCTGATTGTACGAAAAATCACGTTTTTAGCTTGTGAACACTGTAGAGGTCACAGTTATTATCCGATTTGGTTTAACCCTTTGAACCCTGAAAATATTTTGGGTGTGGCACACCCTACCCTGACTTTACAGCAGGAATTTGGAAAAATGACGTCATTTTGATTGGGACTAAATGTTAGGTGTGAATTTGATATTATATATGTGTTTAAAATTGTGTGAAATGATGAAACAACGACATTTAATCACAATATTTAATTTTGTCAGAATCTGAATCATATTCACTTTCAAAGTCGCTCTCATTGCCGTAATCCGAACCATTAATATCGTCGTCATTATCGCTCATTATAAAAGCTAGCGCTTTCGTTTAGAACACATATTATATCGAATAATTTGCTAATATCTAAATGTAAACAATCTAGAAGGAAGTCACTGTTACCAACAGACCCGGAGCAAACGGTAAACTGTATTTTGATTGGCTAAATTATTATTGTTAAGGCCGCGATTCAAACGGCACGCCCCAAGCCGCAAAACCGACATTTCGGGTATATGCGATACAACGTCAAGCCGGTTTTGCGGCATTTCGGGTTCTAAGAGTTAAACTTGAAATGTATGTTTATAACCCACAGATCTCGTTTCCTTTCAATATTCGCGCATATCGGACCATAACTTCCTGAATTATGGACCCTGATTGTACGAAAAATCGCATTTTTAGCTTGTGGACCCCTTGAGGTCACAATTTTTATACGATTTAACAAACCTTACAGTAGTATATCACCGTTACATCATAAGGATGGCTGAGTTCGAATTTCGTAAAAATCGGACCGAAACTGACGAACAAAATGGCCGCCCCTCGTACGCAAATAGTGTAAACATCTGGTATATCAAAGTTGTGGACCCTCTAACCAAAAGATCTCGGCTCCTTTCAATATTCGCGCATATCGGATCTTAACTTCCTGAATTATGGCCTCTGATTGTACACAAAATCTCGTTTTGAGCTTGTGGTCCCTCTAGAGGTAATAATTATTATTCGATTAAAAAAAAAAACGTCCGAATATATCACCGTTACACCGTAATGTTTGTTGAATTCGAATTTCGTGAAAATCGGGCCATAACTTCCAGACGTACGCAAATAATGTAAACATCTGGTAAATCAAGGTTGTGGACCCTCTAGAGGTCACAATTTTTATCCGATTTTGATGAAACTTAAAACATATCTTTATATCCCAAAGATCTCTGTCCCTTTTGATATTTGCACATTTCAGGCCATAACTTTCTGGATTATTGCCCCTGATTGTACAAAAAATCACGTTTGTTTTTAGCTTATTCTTTATCCATCTCTTGCAAAATATGGGCGTATCCTGTCTGGCAGCCGCTGGTTACTGTTAATGTAAGGGCCTGAGTGACATGTATAGCCCGGGCCCCAATGCAAGCTTATTCCGGCCCTGTCGAAAATACTGATCACCGTGCTTCATGTGGATATATTTTCCTTACTGTATGACCAACTTCTGCGCTAAATACTGACCACTCTTACTACATGACCAGCTTCTTCAATACTGACCACTCCTGTGATATTTGTTTTGTTATGCGTTTACATGTTTTTGTTAATGTGATATAATTTAACCTGTCTCATAATTTACCATATGCTTGGTTCAATATAGCCCGGTTGGAGCTGACGTGACATAAAACTCTAACTACATGGCCAACTTCGTCAATAAATAATCTACTTGTTGTTCATCCATAAGGTAGGAGCATTTTTATTGGAGAAAAGTACAAAGCTAACAATTTATTTTATATTTTTGTATTGAAGGCAACGACGACCATGCCGAAATGGGCCATACGAATCCTGGATACGCTCCCGGAGCTGAGAACTGAACGGGAAAGTCGTCAGATTCACACCATGATGAAAGATATGCGAGGTTTCGATAAATTTACTGAGGATATCCAAATCAATTTATGTAAAGCAGCAACATATCAACGGTACAACTTCATTATTTTTAATGTGTCACAATTTGAGACAGTAGTCGACGAGTCTGCAACACAGAAAATATCTTTTAAAAATAACACTTGGAGCTGTAGCGGACGAGCTGGGATAGGGCACATGCGCCTGTAACACGGAAAATATCTTAACAAAACTATAATTAGGACTTATAAAAAATAGCATTTTTGACTATACCAAACTAGTCGGACAGAGAACATGCGGCTGTAACATGGAAAATCTCATTTAAAACTAGAGCATTAAATTGAGGCTAACTATCATGTTAATTTAAATATGTTACGTTCATGTTCGAAATCGAGATTATCAAATTCAGGGGCAAATAACTCGTCTGTAACCGATTCTCTATCAGTAGATATTATATAGTACACAGACCACCAAATATTTCTATGCCGTCACCCAAAGCTATTTTTAGTCTTTCTATCCCATTCCCTTTTCTTCCTTTTGCATGGCGATTTTTGTTGACTTTTTGGAGTGGAATGGAAGAAAAGGGTTTGAAAATACATTTTCTGCCAGGTTTTGGTGAATATTCATGATTTTAAGTCTCTACTCCCAGCTTGTGTATCTCATACGTGCTTTTGGGCAAGAGTTTGCCACATGTTGCTCCGTCTGTGGCAGAAAGCGTTCTACCCAACGAAAATTTGGGAAAAAGTTAGAGCCGGTCTAAGAGACGAGAGTAAACATTAAAGTCAATGGAGAAATCTTTAGTGATCTGTGGCCATATATATATATTATGGCAAGAAATACACTGTCAACAAGCCCATAGCTAGGCCCGTGGCTAGCGGGGCGGGGGGGGGGGATCAAGTGAGGCAGTTGCCACCCAACCCTCTAGAACAAATAGGAAAGGGGCCCTTTCCATTGGACGCAATACGAAGTCAACGACCAACGTGCCCATATCATAAAGCCGAATGTCACTTGGCTTTATCAGCGCCTCGCCAATCATGTCGAATAAGAGGCGCCCCTCCCCAGATGGCGAGGCACTTCATAATGAATCACACGATTAACACCACAACTTTATTGATGGAACGCGCCAAACGGCGTGATCTGTGGGATACCTTATCCCGTAGTCGCGCCCACAATGACATGATTGTCGGGCCGCACAAAATGCACGATGCCGAGTGAGAGTGGTTGGGCACCCACGACCGCATACCGTAGATTAAAAATTCTCTAGATCAAATTCACGATGGGGATGAGATTGATACAAGCCCGCACCAGGCGTGATAATCTTCAAAATTCAAACAAGTCACACTCTAACTCGATTCCTAATTTTTAATTTATCTCATAAATTATTATAGGTACGCTGAAGTCGTATCCTTCCTTCTAATTTTTATAATGTTCATATCAAAGTTTCATAATACGCCAATATCGCAAATTCAGTCACAAAATTGAAATTTTCCGTCATTTTCATTGTTCCTCTCCTCAGGTGCAAACCCTATTTTCCAATTTTTTTCGGGGGGAGGAGGGGAAAGCGTCTACAGTGCCTTTCGCCGTTGACTGTCAAGTGCAGGTACATCGGCGCCCCCAGAAGCCCTACACCATTTTTGTTTTAGTTACGGACCTGATCAAAGAAAGGTGGGATCAAAGTCCAAGAACCTGCATTCCACAAACCATTCGCGATACTCTTTAATTCTCACTAAACAATTTATTAAAAAATGAGATAATGTTTAATGTAACTTAATGAAATGTAATAAGAAATTGACACAGCTCGCAATCTACAGCATCAGTGTGCTACCCAAGGTTCGACTATATTTATTATCCAGTTATTTGCTAGAAAAGTTCTAAGTTATATGGGGGGGGGGGTGGATGGCTGAATGGTTAGCGTGCGCGCTGTATCATAAAGTCTGTCATTGAGTCGAATGGCGTGGTTTCGAATCCCCGGTTGTACGTGACAAGGAGTAGGGTCGCATGTCCAGCCTCGTGGGTTTTCTCCGGGTCCTCCGGTTTCCTCCCACTGCTAAAGACCCCTATGCGCAAGCGAATTATTGAAATAAAATTAAACCATATGTTAGTCCCGAAATGACCTAGTTGTGTCGAGAAGACGTTTAAACCCATTTCTCTCTCTCTTTCCCTCTCTCTCTCTCTCGCTCTCTCTCTCTCTCTCTCTAAGTTATATGGATAGAGTTGTAATTTGTTTTGTGTTGAGTTGACATTAGTTAGGGTTTGTGCTGTTTTACAGACGGTCGAGTTGTGTTGAATTTGTTACTGTTTTTGTTTCCAGTGTAACAGAAGGTCGAATTATCTTGATGATTTTGTTACTGTTTTATTTTTTAGTGTAACAGAAGGTAGAGTTATCTTGAGAAAAGGACATATCGGTTATAATTTTTATTTTGTTTTCTCCGGTTCAGCTTTTGTCAACGTAGAGGATGTGGACAGCGCAGGGGAAACTTTCGTCAAGACTGAAGCTGTGATGAAAAAAGGTGACTCTTTTGGGGTGAGTAGATTAGGTGCATCGTACCACATTCTACATAGTTCTTCAAATCTGAATCGATTTGGGACGAATTTTAAGAAATTGTTTGTATTGTGGTAAAGGTGGTCGTTATGAGCATTTTCGCAAAATTACTTCCAGACTTGTCCGAGGGCACAGAGGCATCAGGGACACAGCTACCACGATTGCATTTTTTTTCAAAATAAATTAAATTCATCTTCATTCCACTTAAAATATAATGGCCTAAATCCGGGGAGAAAAATGGTCCCTGCGTGGGTTTATGGGAAAGGTGAATCAAGCTTCGTTCAAGGAGCTAAATCTCTATTCTTTGGCAACTAATAATTGATACAAATGGGTCGCAACGCATATAAAAATATCATATGAATGTATATAAGGTTTCTGTTTTTACTGTAATTTCAAATCAGTTATGTTCGGGGATATACGCGAAGAATCTGAATTGAATGGCAGTCTTTGACGTCTGGTTATTCCAGTCTGCACCAGTAGTTTTCTCCTTTAAGGTATCTTTCATCGAGATGGGGTCGGGGGCCCAAGGAAAACAATTGGTCCGAGGGCCCAGAACTACCCAAATCCATCACAGTTTCCAGAGTTATTACACGTCTGTCATTGAGTCAAGTAGTGTACAGGACAAGGAGTAAGATCGCCTGTCCAACCTAGCTGTTTCATCCATGCTATTTGTTTGTGTTATAGGAACTGGCGCTACTACAGGAAGTGACACGAACGGCAACAGTTACTGCACGTGAAACAATAGAATTATTAGTCGTACATAAAGATACATTCGCTCAAGTCTGTCCTCAAATATTTGAAAAGGAGCTGTCAGAAAAAGAGAGATTTTTACGGTAAAACACCTCTATTTTAAACTAGATTAATTAGATCTGTTACTTTATAGTCCACAGGGAACCTGTGGGGGGTCAGTGAGTAAGACGCTAGCTCGCTAGCCTTGAAGTTGGTCTTCCATACACTATATCTAAGCTAATGTTAGACTCGATTTTACACCAAAACAATTATTCGGTCATCCAGTTTTTATTATAGATGAATATTTATTTCAGACGACTTCCGATCTTTTCTGAAAAATGGTGGAGTAAAGACGCGTTGGAGAAATTATGTCTTCAAGCTCAGATACAGGAGGTACGTGACCTATACCCCTTCTCAACCTCGGCCTACCCCGTTCTCACAATGTAGTACAACTCCTTGGTTTGACCCTGTCATTGAGTCAACTGGCGGGGTTTCGATTCCCCGGTTGTATGTGACAAGGAGTAGGGTCGCCTGTCCTCCGGTTTCCTCCCACTGCTAAAGACCCCTACTCGCAGGCCAATTATTGAAATAAAATTAAACCACGTGTTAGTCCCGAAATGACCTAGTTTGTGTTGAGTAGACGTTAAACCTCTCTCTCTCTCTCTCTCTCTCTCTCTCTCTCTCTCTCTCTCTCTCTCTCCCTCCCTGTTTTGACCATCCTAGGTATCCCCTGTGGTTTCATTCCGTTTTACTCTACTAACCCCTGGGTTAATGTATGGGGGAGACACGTTTTCCAATTATTCGCCCTTGATGATTGTGCTATTTTTATCGACCAATTCCATGCATCGTTAATTGAAAATTAATTCCAATTATTCGCCCTTGATGATTGTGCTATTTTTATCGACCAATTCCATGCATCGTTAATTGAAAAGGAAGTTGGCAAAGGGGAGTAACTCTCATCGGACAAGTTTAGGGGTTAGCCTAAATGAGAGATGTTCTAATTAATCTAAATGCGTACTTACTAGCAACAAATTATATAATACTAGCAGGATACCCGGTTTCGCTCGGGGGTCATAACTCCGAAACCGGAAGTGGTAGACTAATGCCACCTGGCCTATGTTACTCCCCGGTCCGAGCTACCCCTATACCCCAAATTTCAGACTCGGGGCAGACCCAGTGTAGCCGCCAACTCCGAACAGACCGGCTTCGCTCGGGGGGTCATAACTCCGAAACCGGAAGTGGTAGACTAACGCCACCTGGCCTATGTTACTCCCCGGTCCGAGCTACCCCTATACCCCAAATTTCAGACTCGGGGCAGACCTAGTGTAGCCGCCAACCCCGAACAGACAGACTTCGCCCGGGGGTCATAACTCCGAAACCGGAAGTGGTAGACTAACGCCACCTGGCCTATGTTACTCCCCAGTCCGAGCTTCCCCTATACCCCAAATTTCAGACTCGGGGCAGACCTAGTGTAGCCGCAAACCCCAAACAGACCGGCTTCGCTCGGAGTTCATAACTCCGAAACCGGAAGTGGTAGACTAACGCCACCTGGCCTATGTTACTCCCCGGTCCGAGCTACCCCTATACCCCAAATTTCAGACTCGGGGCAGATGTAGCCGCCAACCCCGAACAGACTTCGCTCGGGGGTCATAACTCCGAAACCGGAAGTGGTAGACTAACGCCACGTAGCCTATGTTACTCCCCGGTCCGAGCTACCCCTATACCCCAAATTTCAGACTCGGGGCAGACCTAGTGTAGCCGCCAACCCCGAACAGATCGGCTTCGCTCGGGGGTCATAACTCCGAAACCGGAAGTGGTAGACTAACGCCACCTGGCCTATGTTACTCCCCGGTCCGAGCTACCCCTATACCCCAAATTCCAGACTCGGGGCAGACCTAGTGTAGCCACCAACCCCGAACAGACAGACAGACAGACAGACAGATAGATAGACAGACAAACGACCGTCACAAATATTTATATATAGTATTCAAAAAAAGTAGGGGATATTTGATTTTTAAGTGTTATTAAAGTCACCTAATGAAACTGACGAAGAAACAAATGACAAAATGAAATGAAGTTCACATTCATCGATTTATTCCAAATGATCGTTAGACTAAGTAAGGCACAGACTGACCATTATAAGGGTAAAATGATACCCGGGGTCAAACAGCAAAGTTACCACAGCATCACAACCAAGTCAGTAACGGGTAAATCCTCCTCTGTTTGCCAAACAAGCATTGATCCGACGTGGCATACTCCTAATGAGACGTCTAAGGTCATTTTGGTCCAGATTGTCCCATTCCTGTTGCAACGCAGCAGCAAGTTCTTGGACATTGGCAGGACGTTGTTGACGTTGACGTAACCTCTGTCCAAGCATGTCCCAGACATACTCGATGGGGGAGAGGTCGGTACTCAGTGCTGGCCAAGGTAATATGGTGATGTTCTGTTGTTGGAGGTAACCTGTAACGATCCTGGCCCTGTGACATCTTGCGTTGTCATCCTGGAAGATGAAACGGCGGCCATGACGTCGTGCGAACGGCACAACATGGACTGCCAAGATGTTGTCCCGGTAGTACTGGCCTGTAACACGCCCTGCAACAACATGTAAAGCCGTTCTTCCAGCAACAGTGATGCCTCCCCACACCATAACAGAACCACCCCCAAATCGATCATGTCTGATGACGTTAACGTCTTGGAAGCGCTCGTTTCGACGACGCCACACCCTCCTACGTCTGTCCAAAAAATCAACAGTGAACCTTGACTCATCTGAAAACATCACATTGCTCCAGCGTCGATTATCCCAGTGTTGACGATCCCTACACCAACGACGTCTTGCCTGAATGTGATGATCTCTCAAACAAGGGATCACGCGAGGACGTCGGGCGCGAAGGTGACCCCTATGCAGTCGATTCCGAATCGTCTGGCCACTCACTCTCACACCAGTGTCTGTTTGAAGACGAGCGCTGATCTGATTTGCTGTGATGACACGATTTCTCAAGGCCAAGGTACGGATAAATCGATCCTGGGCTTGAGTTGTCGCCCTTGGTCGACCTGAGCGTGGTCTGTCCTGTACAGATTGTGTATCACGGTATCTGGACCATAGCCTGCTTATGACAGACTGAGAAACATTCATCGTCCGCGCCACAACCGCCTGTGTTTTGCCGATCTGTAGCATGCCAAGGGCACGTAACCTTTCATTTAGGGTAAGCCGACGCATATCAATATTTGTTTTCTGGTCCCTAAAACAATTAAACTGATGTTTCCACCCTGGAATTCAATGCCACAATGACTGTAACATTCAAAGTCAGAGTCGTGCAAATCTTGGGTTGGACCCCCATGATGATCCCAAGCATCACCTGCATTCCATGCGGTAGCTATTGGTGCGTTTGGGCGTCACATGTAACTGGAAATGTTTCTTCTGTTAGGTTCTATAGTGACTTTTTTCGTAGTCATTTGCATATTTTAGTATTATGCCCCCAAAATCAAATATCCCCTACTTTTTTTGAATAGTATAGATAGATGAAATTCATAAAAACCGGACCAAATTGCCAAGTATAAGTTCAATAATAATAAACATAACAGAATGAAACATTTCAGATAAAGAACGAATAGTAATAATAATAACAAAAGTCAAACTTATAGATGTTATACATATTTGAAATCAGTGAAACATACTACAGATTTTGATAATACAATTAAGTATAAATGAATTAGAAATATATACATTTTTTACATAAATCATTCAGTAAATGGACATGAATTTGACTAATTACCCTTATAAAATCGAAGACGAAACGACTGTTTTGTAAACTGTTTCTTGGTTGGTTCGTGGACCTTATCTACAATCAAGGCCAGGGCAGATAATTTGAAATCGTGGAAACCCTATGGATTAACCCAGGGTATAGTGAAGTAGAACACTGGGGATACCGAGGATGTGTTTTGACCGAAATCACGAATGACCTTCTCCAAACTGACCCACACTGGATATTCTATTATCTGCAGTGGATCACAAAAAAATGATCTGTAGGGGGCTTGCTCCGACCTCATCTGTAGGGTGTCTGCTCCAACCTGATCTATAGGGGGTCGCTCTAAACTGATCTGTAGTGGACCTGCTCCGGTTTGATCTGTAGGGTGTCTGCTTCAAACTGATCTCTAGGGGGTCTGCTCCAACCTGAACCGTAGGGGGGGCCGTTGCAAACTGATCTGTAAGGGGAGGCTCAAAACTACTGTCGGAGGTTTCAAAGGATATATTTCAAACTGATTTGTAATGGGCCCAATCCAACTTGAACCCCAGTGTGACACTTTCCATACTGATCGGCAGTGAGACACAGAAGGCCTGCTCTAAACCGATCTACAGTGTTTCACAGTGGACCTGTCCCAAATTGATTCATAATGGGTTTGAGAGGACCTACCCTAAACTACACATCAGTGAAATTTTACTCCGGCAAGTGGTTGCCATGGCAACTTGTCAAATAGATTAGGTATTAACATTTTTTATTCAGTTTATATTCAATTGAATTTCAGTAAGTTAATTGAAAGTGTCATTATCTGGAATAGTATGGCCCATAACATTTACATATATATTTGTTTTACAGTATTCGATAAATAAATTGATTGTGAAGGACAGTCGACGAGATAATTGGGTTTATGTCTGCATGGAGGTTAGCACCATTTTAATATTATTATTACACGTCATTTTCGTCTTTATATGTAAATATATTTATGTGTGCGGTGGTCGAGCAGTGGCTTCTTTACTAGGGTGTCCTGAGTTCCCGGAACTTGAGGCCTTAGTTTGTAAGCTGCCAGGGGTGGCGCCTGTGTGTTTAGTCCGTTAGGATAGGACCAAACAAGAAGGTCATTCCTCGTACACGTTGGTCTGTACGTAAAAGAACCCTTGGTAGATGGAATTTGAATACAAACAGATGGAAACGCCACTGTCTGGCCAAATTCACCTATCCCTCCTCGATGACTGCTCAACGAAACCATTCAAATGAAAATCACCATATGTTAGTCTCAAAAAGACTGAGATATTAAACTCCATTCCACTGTACAGACCATTCCGTTGTACAGACCATTCCATTGTTTATTTCTTGTACCAGTCTGCTGCCCCAGACCTATATAAAATTAGTACGCTGGTGTCATGAAGACTATTCTTTTCACGAGAGCTTGCGACTAAGCGCATTTGAGCAGGCATCCTCGATAAATCGCTCTATATAAATGACTAATTTAATTTAATTAAAGCATTATTTTAGGCCTATATTAAAGTAGTACATTGGGGTAATTATTTCACTGAGTTTAATTTTAGGCCTATATTAAAATAGCACGTTGGTGTAATTAACTCTTTAAGTATTATTCTAGAGTTTGGGTTAGGTTGAGGATTATTTCAGGTTACTTTAACTAGTATAAAAGATTGGTGTTGGTATTTCAGGGTAAAGCTCAGATTATACGATGTTTATCCCTAAAAGATGAAGAGACAGAAGACAAAAGAAGTTTAATGAAGAAACGACAATCCGCTGTCTTCCTGTCTGAAGAACTATTAAAGATATATCGAGATCTGACACCAAAAGTTAAAAATAGAAGTAAGAAGAGATTCTTTCGTTATTCAGGTTTCACTTTCTAAATAAGCCTGACATCTATCGCTATATTTGGTCATCTAGAGGATATCCCTCTCCTTAGTATTATTGTTGAACGATCCCATCGTTGTCTATTATTGTCCGTAGTGTTACAGGCTACTATGATCACTCAGTGTTACTGCTGATGATATTAAAATATGTTTTACTGTTGGTAGTGTTAATGATATGTTTACTGTGGGTGGTGTTAATGATATGTTTACTGTGGGTGGTGTTAATGATATGTTTACTGTAGGTGGTGTTAATGATATGTTTGCTATATGTGGTGTTAATTATATGTTTATTGCAGGTGGTGTTAATGCTGATGATGTTAATATAGAAGATAAAGATGACAAAGAGAAGTTACTGGAATCTATGGCTTTAGAATACGCTGAAACTGGCAAGGTTAGTTGTTACCTATTATCAGGTGATTTAATCCACCCTTGGAACTGATTATATTATTCAGGATTTTTCTGTCGATAATAACATGTTCCCAATGAGTTTCCAGCTAATTTAAGCCAATTTACACCCAAATCAACCATTCCCCGTCAAATAATTTCCAAGCTAATTAAAGCCTTTTTTTCTGGATATATTAAGTCATTGTCGTACACTATTCAAGTAAAGGTGCGTAATTCTGTCAGTATTTATAGTTATATTCGTGTTAGCATTAGGTCATTTCGAGAAACATGAAAAATACATGTCGCCATTAGTGAATAACGAATATAGAACCAGGTCGTTATTATTTTTCTCCTACCACATTCATCAAGGCAACGTCAAACAAACAAACGCCGCCGTTGTTTTGGTCTTACTCCAGCTGTATGTACCTAAATGACCAAAAATATTGTCTCAGGGCTTCTGATTTTATAGAATTCTTGTTTAATCCCCAACATCCCAAGCTAATCTGGACGGAACCAGACATACCTCCACCCAACCGCCCCCCCCCCCCACACACACACACACACACACAAACACACCCACGCCCCCGGCTCAAATACCTGAACACGCCCCAAGTTTTACAGATGACGGTGACGACTTATTAAATATATCTCGATATTGGTAAAATGGTAATGGCTATTTTGGTAGCTTCTATATGTTGGTATTTATATTGGTATATATTGGTATTTATATTGGTATTTATATTGGTGTATATTGGTATTTATATTGGTGTATTTTGGTATATATTGCTATAAATTGTTGCTATATGTTTGTAGAGAAAAGAAACGTTTATTGAGGAATTGGATGAAAATGAACGGAAGAAAGACATGGAATATATTCTGGGACCAAAAACACTTTCTTCCCTGATGGCTGCCGAACTGGAGAAAGGAAAGACTGATGTTATTTATCTGAATATTGGAACTCTACATCCTGATGATATATTTGTAAGTATTTTGATGATGTATTTGTAAGTATTTTACATCCAGATGATATATTTGTAAGTATTCTACATCCTGATGGTATATTTCCTGATTAGTCCTTTGGCTGAAGGGGGGGGTGAGCTCACGTCGATTTAAATGATGATTTTCTTAGAGCTTGCAAATGAAACATCTGTAAATATGGTTTATAAGATTCCCATTGTGTGGTTCAAAATTGACCTTACAAGTTTAAAAGTGGTTTCTCGTTAGCCTTTTCGTTCAGTACCTATTTCGTCATTCAATATATTAAATTATAAAGGTACTTCTCAAGAGATCTGGAAATGTAAATCAAAAACACAGTAAATCAGAGAAATGCTATCCCCCCCCCCATAACATAATGACATTGCCCCCCAATTGTAGACATTGGACCCCCATATATCTCGAAAACGCCCCCTCAAACGCCTGATCACCACCCAGATTCGGAATCTACGCAAAAAGCTGGCCTAGAAAAACTTGATCTCATAAATTCACAGCTTGGATGGCGACCCCCCCCCCCCCTTCAGTAAGTATTCTACATCCTGATGATATATTTGTAAGTATTCTACATCCTGATGATATATTTGTAAGTATTCTACATCCTGATGATATATTTGTAAGTATTCTACATCCTGATGATATATTTGTAAGTGTTCTACATCCTGATGATATATTTGTAAGTATTCTACATCCTGATGATATATTTGTAAGTATTATTTGTAAGTATTCTACATCCTGATGATATATTTGTAAGTATTCTACATCCTGATGATATATTTGTAAGTATTCTACATCCTGATGATATATTTGTAAGTATTCTACATCCTGATGATATATTTGTAAGTATTCTACATCCTGATGATATATTTGTAAGTATTCTACATCCTGATGATATATTTGTAAGTATTCTACATCCTGATGATATATTTGTAAGTATTCTACATCCTGATGATATATTAGTATATTAATAAGTATTCTACATCCACATGGTATATTTGTAAGTATTCTACAACCTGATATGTTCTTGTATCTATAGTACTTAGTACACTGTATTCTGAGTTGCGTATTGCTGCTCTGATAGTGTTGGATGGTAACTGGCCGAAAGACGTCCGATTTCTCGGGGATGGAACCCGGGCCCCATCCCTTGCTCGCCTGTGCAGGCACCACTGTTCTAACAACAGCTCTAAAACTTTTTCACCGACATGCAATATGTAATTGTTCTTGTGGATAGTGGATTTACAATTCCTTTAAATTATCTAGGATACGCCATTATTAGCTACGTGCGCTTTTTATCAATGTATATAAGATGAGGTGTTTTTAAAGAGCTCTGAACCTTCGATTATGCCAGTAAACTGAAAGTGATCACATATCGTTCAACTTACAAAAAAACAACTACAGGCTCGTGTTTGTATTATAGGCCTATGTCTGTAGGATAGGTCTATGTTTATATTACGGGTCCATGTTTGTATTATAGGCCTTTGTATTACAGGACATCCATTCTATTATAAACGAAGAGCACGAAGCTAACAGTTATCACCTTCTCGTTAGCTATGGTGCCAGGATTCTCAAGATTAAAAAATCTGATTTATTTCATTTTGCCTCGTCGGAAGCCGTTGAACACATTAAAAACATCACCACCAGAAATAAGTAAGTTTAACACATTAAAATGAAATGGGGTTTAACGTCCTAAATTTCTGCTCCGACTGGGATAATGCAGACAGACATACGCCCGTGTGCTTTGAGGGATATTTGGCTCGGACAATGGCGCTACGGCCTATAGTCTTATATGAAATTCCATGGTTTATGCATGAGCGCCTACTGTTAGTTTAGAGCTGTCAAGCGGTTGGTTGTTTTACTTGTACGCCAATGTGTTCACCCATCCGGACAGTCAGACACTGTTCCGTGACAGGCCCTCCATCCTGCACCACTGACAAGGGGAAACTACACCGAAAATTCCTGAGAACTTTCTTAGTCAACACCAGGAGTGAATCCAGGGGTTGGTTAGCCAGCGTCTTACTCGCCATTATGGATCCTCTATAAAAATAGGCACAGATCTAATTCGCCATGATGGATTCTCTATACAAATGAGCACAGATCAAACTCGCCATGATGGATCATCTATACAAATAAGCACACATGTTAAAGGGCCAATCTCGATTATATTTTGGAGGATAAAACTGCTTAATTTTGTGTTAAAAGCCCTTAAAATCCTCTAACTTAGGGCCGAGCAACTAACTCAATACGTTTTGAAACAACTTAAACCGGTCAGTTTTCATATGTAAATCGAGACCGACGTCCCAAGCTGTATTATGCGGTGTATGGATAAAACCAGGGGCCTGTTTCACGAAATTTTAAGTAAGATAAAATCCAAATTTTAGTAATTTGATTGTATAATATTAGATTGATTTTAGTGCTTAGCCAATCAAAATTGAAGTATCTACTAAAATTTGGATTTTATCTTTAGTTAAGATTTCGAGAAACGGGGCCCAGACTTGTATTTTATAAAAATAATGTGTAGGTGAAATTTACCTTACGGTATCAAGTACAGCACGTGGGGCATGCACTGTATAGACTTCTAAGGTTCACGTCAACCAATAGACTCAATATTTTGAGCTGAAATGTTAAGACAAGGTAAGTACACAATTGCTCTATATTGTGGCGTTTAAATTTCATATGTACTCTGACTTTTATTTCTGAGCCTTTAGTATAATCTGGACGGTCCCATTAAAGTATTTGAAATAGGTGACACGACCTTATGTTCCATGGATCTGTGACAATTTTTTAAAGATGTTTTGAATGTCTGTGAACCCACCTTGATATCTCTATTGGTCACTGGTGTATACAATATATATATTTTCAGGTACCCGTCAGACTCGGTATTACTGGAATCATATCGAGACAAGGCCACGTGGGATGATTATAAATCAAACGTCATATCCGGTATACTTAAACCACACCTTCATAAACAGCAGAAATTTCCACAGGGCCATCTCCTCAAATCATATGCCCAGAAAACAGGGGAGATCCGAAAGGAGAAACTTTTAGCGACACTAAAGAAAAATCAGACGGATTCCATAAAAGCAGAAAAGGATAGGAACCAATACGAAGCTGATTTGGATTATCGTGAATCCGCGGCTTTAACTGATCTGACCAAATCGCAAGAAGCGAAGTATGCGGGTAACATTATCCGGTTTCATGAACCGATAATTATCCGTAGAAAGAGTTACGTTGATTATATTCAACGAATGGACACCTTGGATGTGAATATCGCAGTCGATAAAAAAGTGAAACGTAAATATAATCGACCCACAAGTAAAACTATCCTCGAGGAATGTGGGGAAAATAGATCGGAGCAACAAACACCAAAATCACTGACTTTAGCAGCATATTTATAGTTCACTTGTAGCACAAAATCAACAGGGACGTAATTCCTGAAAATCCAGTATAATTTGTGGATTTGACTCCCAATATTTGGTTTTATTTAACTACAATCATATACATGACATGTTCCTTTGTCTTCAACTGATTAGAATTTTTTTTATCAACCATTGATTTGAGAAATATTTTCTTCGTTTTCTTTCCTCATGTTATCACTTTTGCGAAAAAAAAACAGATTATCGGAACAACTAAGATAACAAATTGAATAAAATGGGGTTTAACGTCCTACTTTTCTGCTCCAGTCGGGCTAATGAAGATTGGCATACGGAAAGCAGTGTGCTATATGTGGAAAATTATGCCCGGGCAGCGGCAGTATGGCCTATTTGGAATTCCAACTGCCAATTTGTCGTCGTCTGAGGAACTTTCTGGTTAGCAGCCAGCACCTTACCCGCTGATCCACCGCGGCCCCGAACGACTAGACTCTGTACCACTGACACGGGGAAATCACGGGGAACTTTCTCGGCCGACACGGAGAGCGAACCCTAGTCCTGCTAGTTAGCACTGTCAACACCTTACTCATCGAGCCACCGCAACACCCTAACAAGATAACAATTAGCTGATTAATTGAACTTGTTTATTAATCAATCACACTACGTGACAATACACGTGAATTCAGACAGTGTAGTAATACCGGACTTCTTTGTCGTGTTTCCTTCGTGATCGTAAATGTAACTACAGGTTAGGTCGTTTCTCAAACTTTCTTATAAAAACCACTTTGCATCAATGTTCCTCGTTCTTAATAACTTGTATATAGATTTTGATGGCTGTTCTGACAAACCGGGTGGGATCTGTTGGTTTTCTACCCTTGGATTTCGGTTTTCAATTGTCTAATTGGTCAAATGTGACGTAATTAATTATAATGGTTGGTTAGGAATTGTCCACCATAGAACCAGCCATGTCTTGGTTTTATAAATCTTTTAATGTGTCAACCACATCACTCATTTATTTGAGTGTGTGAGATATGACTTCTCCATAATTTGATACAAATAATTAGTTAAAAATATAATATAATGCTATTATTAATTTAAAGAGCAAACATTCTTCAGTAGTCTTACAATAGTGGTTTAGCAATGATATCATCCTTCAATGAGAAGTGGTATCAGTACTCCCAAAATGCTCGTGCATTACAGTGCATGTGTACTATGTTTTCGCACCTTTATTATCCCGACCATGGAATGAAAAATAAAACATAGCATCCCAACACGAACCAAATATAGGCCCGAGTACACTATTTAAAGTGGAATAATTTAAAAGGTATATCTATTTCATTAACATTGCACATGTCGTACAATATGGATGTTTGACAACTTCACTACAAATTGCATCTCTCAAATATTGTGAACATCATACGGGTTTGTCCCCCGCCTTGCTCGTAAGAGCATCTTCCATCTAGAGATCGATTTCTGTTTTGTCTACCACCCGATATTGACGAGAGAGAGAGAGAGAGAGAGAGAGAAAGGGAGAGAGAGAGAGGTTTAACGTCCACTCGACACAAACTAGGTCATTTCGGGACTAATATATTATGTTTCAATTTTATTTCAATAATTCGCATGCGGTAGGGGTCTTTAGTAGTGGGAGGAAACCGGATAGCCCGAAGAAAAACCCACGAGGTTGGACAGGCGACCCTACTCCTTGTCACGTACAGCCGGGGAATCGAAACCCCGCCAGTTGATTCAATGACGGACCTCCAACCCCCTTCTCTACTATATACTTTCTATATTTTCAGCACACAATTCTCTACTATATACTTTCTATATTTTCAGTCCGACATAATATATGCTTTCTACTATCATTGATGGGGATCACTGTGGCTAAGTGGGTAAGACGCTGGCTCGCTAGCCTGTAGGTCAGGTGTTCGATCCCTGCATTGGCCGAGAAAATTCATCCAGATTTTCCGGCGTGGGTTCCCCTTGTCCGTGATGCAGGACGGAGGGCCTGACAAGGACAGCTGTCTAGTCGTTATGATGGGACGAAAAACCGAGGTCCCGTGTACACATTGGCATGCACGTGAAAGATCCCTTGGCAGTTGGAATTCGATATAAGAGCAGGCTATAGTGCCGCTGCCCGGGCAAAATTTCCCTCATAGCATACTGTATGGTGTATGCCTGTCTTCATTAGCCCGGTTCAGAGCAGAACAGTAGAACTTTAAAGCCCATTTCATTTCATGTCTCCGGTAGGTAGAAAGGAAGTTCGGAAATGGAGATTTTGCACGGTTGACATTAAACTTCATGAAAATTGTTCAGGTCGTATTTACATTTCGAAGTCTTAAGCGAGAGTGAAGACTTGATATTTGTTTGCACATGATTGCAATTACCTGTATATCCATGGTGTTTAAGTAAGGATAAGGTATAAACCTGTGTAATTCGCGATAAATGCGTTTAGGGTTAACGATAGAGAAAAATGCACAAGGAAAATTTAGAACTGAATGGCCCTTTTAAATTCGCGAGTTGGCTTGTATTAGGTTCTAATTGAATGTTCAAAGGGAAACAGCGTGCCTTGCAATTTACCGGGTAGCTTAAATGCAATGGTAGCTGCAACCTGCTACCAGATATTCGTGTTGTTTTGTTAAAAAATGTATAAAGGAGAATAAGGTAAACGTATCAGTTAAAAGCGGGAGACATAGCATGGTAAAAGGGGAAATTGAAATTTGGTGTCGAATGTGTGTTTAGCTGTCAATCTCAATTTGAATTCTCGGATATCCCATTAAACCATACTTAATGTGAACGAAAAGGTCGAGAACTTATTTGCCAATAGTTATACCTGTTGAAGTTAAGGAATACAATAATAACTTAAGGTTATGTTATTTGGGCAATTAAGAGCCATGAGTACAATTTTGTCTTGAAATAAATATTAATCCCGTTTATTTCAAGAAGTTATTCGATAAGTAAATGAAAATGCTGTTTGAATTCGGAAAGAAATAATTTCAAGAAAAAAATCAGTTTAAAATGCTAAGATGCAGTACCTCTGTTATTTAGAAATATACGGTATTGCCATATGCCTCAAAAGTATGCATTTGACGATTGAAGCAAGCGAGTTAGACGAGAGGGTGCTCTTCTGCAGGTCTTAAGTGTTACACGTTGAAAGTGTATACCAACTCTATCTGATAGATCTAATGTTAAGAAGGGTATAGCCTTAACGAAAGACAGATACAAGGATATTCCGGTACCAAATCTGGATATTGTAGACGATTCGTATATGTGTTTAGGCTTATTAATGATGTAAAACTGTCACTGTCAGTAAGTAAAGACGAATACTAATGAGTTCCAAAGTTATTAATGCCTCTAGGTGATAAGTAGTAATAATGCTAATTTATAGTAAAGGGATAGATTAAGCAATCTACTGCTAATAGTTTATTCAGATAAAAGTAAATAGCATTAAGGATTAGGTTCTAATTGTATCCAATTAATATTAAAATAAAGATTATGAATTAAGGGTAAAGAAATATAGTTAAACGTGATATGACTGGGAATTAATGTAGTCCCTCGTAACGCACAACAAAGAAGAAGCATTCAGAGGAATTCCGGCATGCAAGCTGATGTGGTTCTTGCGAGGAATTTGTAGTTCAAGTATTAACGGATCATCAAATTTAAAGTGGAAGAAACAGAACAATTCGGAATACGACATTAAAATTATTTAGTGTTATAAACAATGAAGTGAATCGTTGTATTTATATCGTGGTAGCATGTATATGGGTGTAATGATATTTTAGAAGTAGGACTTTTTAAAGGACACACTAGCTAGAAGTTTTTAGTAACTATTATTAGTGATTATTTAAAGATTGTTCGCAACATGGATTGGCAATTATGAAAAATGTCAGTCAGAAAGTATTTATATTGTATTGTATTTAATGCATGCATTGTTTATCTAACGCATTGCATAGGGGCGTGATGTAATACTATATATACTCTAGAGGTTATTTAAATGGTGTTCTGTTAATATATTGAAGTCGTCGTTAGTTAGTACAAGTGACAACGAGACCTGGGCTATTTATATATATACCGCGTTGATTTAAATCGGAAATGACATCATAACCTAGTAATCCAAATATGGTATCCCAAGCTTTAGAACAGTGGACACCAGTCTTCCGCCCCTTCTTGTTTATCGTGTTTAAATCCAGGATAGCCTCTGTGTAGCTGACCATTCAGATAAAGGAAGTTCCTGGCCAATTTCTCGGGTGTCATTCTATAACTCACGCACTTATCCTCCTTATAAGAAAGAGCGAGACTTAAGTTTCTTTAGACATCATAGAGCGGTCCTAGAGGAACTCTAGTTTCCTCGGCTTTGAGGTCGGGATCAGACAGCATGCAGACTTCTTAGAAGTACGTACGCTCAACCTTCACTTCTAGGCCAGGATAGAGACAACATGTAGTGTGTTTTAGTTCTTAGGTCTGAGTTTACTCTGTAGTTCGGATAAACCATAGTTTTATAAATAGGAGGTTGATCATGAATACGATATGTTAATCCCGAAATGACATAGTTTCTCTTACAGGAGTATATCTTTAACGCGCTCTGTAAATCTGGATGCAATAGACTTGGTGTAGAAAGTTCTAGGTATATTAACATTATTTCGTGCTAGGACTTGTTTGTGGTGTAGCATGTGATTTATTGCTTTGAGAATAATCACAGTATAGCACAATGAATTATAATCTCCCCTACAGAGTATTGTAATTACAGTGTATATCATGTCTTTAAATCTCTGTAACCCGGGGAGGGGGGGGGATTTCAGCATAGGTCATAGGTTTATATTCTTACGTTTTTTAGAGCCCACTGTGCTATCAGGGAGGTATGTACAACAATATGCAACCCAAAATAAATTAATATAATTATTTCTACAAAGATCAAATTATACATTTTAATTACACACTGTTAACCATCGTTTGATGTTTAATGGTAATAAATCATATAGTTTATTCAGCTTGACGTAAGACTTAAAACTAAATAGACACAGTTGGTTTAACTTGAATGTAGATATTAATTATCTTTATTGCATATGTATCATTTTTCAGTTAAATTGCATTATCTATTTTATGCGTTGATCTTCATACCGTGGGAGCGGGATCCCTATACACACTTGGGGGATTGGATGGTCGAGTGGTTAGCGCGAGCACGTTG